GAGATCCCCAGAAATCAGTTTTATCCCCAAGATTTCAATTAAAATATTGCCAAATTTTCTTTTTAGTGAGGTCTGACAAAACAAGTGAAAGAGAATGACTTTGTAGCAAGCTACATCAAATGGAGTCTCAATAGCCCACGTAACCCTTACCCAGAGATGCTCAGAAAAAAGCATGCCAAGCTACAAAGCCAGCTTTTCTTCATTCCTCACCCTACCCATTACTCCAAGCAGTTCAGAAAGTACAGAAGGAGATACAAGAGATAATCAGAGCAGTGATGTCAGCAATACCTGAATGAGCTATTATGGGAGACATCTCCTATTGATCTGCTAATAGTCTCTTCAAACAGACCTCACACTCCAGGAACCAGAGAGGGGTGGTAAGAGGGTCCCAGTCAGAAAGCAATTACGTTATCTGGACATGAGCTCACTTGTTTTGCAAGAAGATGGAGCTACTTCTCAGGTCAGTGTGCATCTTGGCTTTTATTCCTCTCTCAATACAGCTTTGTCCTCTCTGACCAGGTTTTGAGGCCAGACCTTTCAAAAAGTGGGACTCGGCACCGATTCTCAGTAAACTCACGGCACTGCTGCTGTGTGACATGGTACGGCCATACAGTTCGGAAGACAGCTCCCTCCTTCCTGGCTGAAACCTGTCTCAGCTGCACAGCTCAAGCTGTCAGCTCTGGGCACTTTACTTTGCAGGCTTCTTTTAACGTCTCCTCTTCCATTTCACATCTTCAAAGTTGACATTACAGAGAAGAAAAGCAGTTGTTCCCCTGAAATCCCTGCTTCTGCATCTCTCAGTTCTGCAACGCAGTCCAGTATTCCACCAATTCTTGTTCCAAATAAACCAGGACTTATGGCTCCTGCCATTTCCATCATCTGATGAACTTAACAGCCTCATTTCTGACATCTTCCCACTTCTTCCAGTGTAACACAAAAAAGAAGAGCAATTTTCTCTGAACATCAGAAATTTGGAAGCATTTAGAAGTCCAGAAGATGGCTTTAAGAAAGCTGGCAAGGTTGTGGGAAACAAGCCAGATACCTCTAAATCTCTGGCTCACTTTGTTTCCACCTAGAATTTACTCACAAAGTGGGCAGCCTGTTACTGCATCTCCTGCCAATACCTGGCTACAGTCAAACACGCCTGCAATTTAGGAGTATAGGCTTAATTACACTGGTAAATTAAATCATCCATTTTCCCTGGCTCTGGAAGAACAGAAAGCATCTGGTCAAAACATATAGGGTATTGGCTGACACATACTTGCTTTCCAAGCAGTAAAACATCTACAGCTTTCCAAAACAACCACTCATATCACACATAGTACCCGTAAGAGCCTCCTAAAGTATGTAATTTGTGGTGGGACAAGTAAAATGCTTCAGGCTTGTGCACTGGCACTTTCAAAATATATAGTCTAATGCTCTCTCTGTGGCACATGTGCTACCTCTGTGTACACAGCCTGCAAGCATCCAGTGGCCCTAGTCGCAATGAAGTCACAAAATTTCTCAAAGTAATTCCATTCTGGTACAAGGACCAGAGGACATCAAATTAAACTACCCCAGAGAACACTCAAAACAGTTGCTCTCTATTCACTCTCCCTATTCTGCCTATGGCTGTACTGAGTTTGGTCAGAGGGCCCCCTCAAACATTTATTTTTCTGGAGGAAGGGCCCTAGTCTCTTCACTCGTTCTTCAAATGGAAGCCAGCCCATACCTTTGATTATTCAGGCTGCCCTTCTTCATATGCTTTTTAATTCTGTATTTTTTTCGGGGGGAAACAGAACTGCACTCAACATTCAAGTATGGGTGGATGATGGGCATGGCACAGCAAGGACAGCGGCAATAATAACGCTAATTCCTAATATCAGTTGGCTTTTGATCATGAGTATCGAGATGTTTAGAAGTGTTTAACCTCAGATTGTTTCTTCTCATGGGCAAGAAGCACCTCCAGGGCCCACCATCATTTACAGAAAATTCAAACTGCTCATCCTCCCATGGGACCAGTTCAAGTTTGTCCACACTGAACATCAGCCAATTTATCATGCGGTCTCTCACTGCTTCCTGCATCATGCCTCAGCTTTGTTTTTAACCTCAACAGCTCAGTATCATCAGCATCATTTATCAGGTGTCAAACCTGTATCCTACCACTTGCTTCTAAGACTCCAGAATTACCACATTTCACAGTAATGGGCAGAACCTGTCCTGGATAGCATGCTAAACTTACTTAAAAAAATCTGCAAAAAGGTAAAAATAGCAAGTAACAAAATTGAATGACAGTCACAAAATTCCATGTCACTAAACACAAGCTCATGCACTGAGGGGTGGAGGCATTGGAGGGAATGCACCAAATTACGTAGACACCATCAGCTATTAACACTCAGGAAACCTCTTGAAGTCACAGTGGACCACTCTCTATATCATCAGCCAAACACTCAGAAGTGTCTAAGAAAGAAATATAGTATCAGAAACCCTACTGGGAAGAAGTAGTGAACAACCAGAGAGGCCTTTCTATGCCATGACACAAAGCCACGATGCTCACGTATTACCCCGTCTCAAAGATTACAAGTAGCCTAGAGAAGGGTAAAAGCAAAAATCAGATCTATGGAATATATTCCATAGGAGACACTAAACATAATTGGCTCTTCAGCCTCAAAAAAAGAAGGAACCTAAAGAAATATAAAGATAACTGACAGGTGGACATAGAAAAGTTACTCACTAGTTTCTCAAAGGGGATTAAGGAGATGTACATAGAAAAATACCAGTTAAATGAACAGAGGCAAATAAAACCTAAGAGAAGGGAACAGCCTTTCCATGTGTTTTTTAAATAAACTATGGAACTCATTATCACAACATGTTAGCGAGATTAAGAATAAAAACAGGTCCCCAACGGGAAGAAGAAAATTCAGCATCAACGGTCTCACTGACCTTCTGGCACCTTGAAGCATGGGGCCGACACAGAACTAGGGAATCCAGAAAAAAAAAAAAAAGGGAGAACTTTCACCAAAAAACAACCCACCACACTGCTTCTTCAAAATAAAAGAACTGGAAGGAGAGGAGAAAAATGAATGGCCAAGATGAACACAATGGAGTGAGCTAAAAAGGACCAAACTTGAGTTTAGCCAAGGAATCTAGAAAGCTCCAAAGTCTGCTGTCTAGAGGCCAACATCCAGGCTGAGCCAAACCAGCACCAACCGACTGCTTGAATGAGCAACTACAAGGAGGTGCATGCACTTGAAATGAGTTCCGCTACACAACAAAGATCAGAGCAAACTGGCCTTTTCACATGAGAAAAATCATTTATCATATCTACTACCACTGGTTATAAGGTAAACTAGGACTTTGCCTTTCAGTGTGGCCCTGCAGATGTTACATGCGGCTAGTAATCTCTTTCTGCATTAGGATAACTCGATTGCATTCTTAAAACTCTGCAACTGGTTAACAAATTATTATATTAACACAGCAAATTAACAAAAGCAGCAAAGGCTACCAAAGTCAGCTGAAGCTTGGAGTTCAAGGAAGCAGCTGATAGAATACTTTTGGCAAGAACCTAATCAAGTACTGCAGTTTTTAAAGGAAGTAACACACTTGGTCCAGAAAGTGCCAAATTTGGGGGTTTATGACTCCTCACTTTCGCGTCTCCTCTGCATACCAGGGACTTTCTGAGGAGCGCTCATGGGAAGAACTAACAAGATCCACAAAGGTGTCAAATCTGGGCTCTCCTCAGTGATCTCCTATGCGAATGCCAGTATTCCTCAGCTTCATTTAACTTTGATATTCCGACTATTAACACAACCTGGCCTGACAGCTTTAAAGTATAAAAGACTTACTGATGCCTCTGAAAACCCTTCAGAGAGTGATTTTGTTGGGTTTTGGTTTTTTTTTAAACACAATCCTAAAGCAGCTTAATATACTTAAAAACTTAACATGTTAGATTCCTTTCATCCATCATTAAAATGCCAACATACCTGTCACACCTAAAAAATACAAGAACAATCATTAATTTATTCTGGGTTTTTTGACAGTTATTTTACTGTCATTTCAGAATCATAAACTTGGCCACTCTAACACTTTCCCAGTGGGCTTCATCTCACAAAGTCATGGCATTCAGGAATCTAAACACTCTCTTACAAGAGAGGAAGAGGTTATAAAAGCTTCAGTTTTTTAATATTTCCAGTGAGGAATATAGGCAGAAATGCAACTTGCAAATTTGGATACCCCCACTTTCTATAAGCATGATTCTTAGTGAGGTTACACCTACACTTGGCAATCGTGCTAGTAGAGCAGCTGGCTGGTAATCGAGATGTCCCACCTTCACTAGGAGCAAGTTGGCAGGAGCTGGGTCAGTCTGGCACCCGGCTATTGCGCAGTGATGGGACTCTGGGAGGGCAGGGGTACCCATCTTCTGCCTAAAATCTATCCCTCAAGGTTCGTCTTTCCATAGTTATCTAAGAAAACTATCCTTAAACCCTCAATTTCGTCACATACTAAGCTCATGAGACAATGCAGATCCATTTCAGAAATGCTCACATCTCCAGATCTAAGCAGTAAGTGCCCCTTTGTCTGCTATAACCTTATCTTTCAGCAAAGGTATTTTTCAGACTACACTTGGATTTGTATCAGAAACCAGACTAGGTGTGTACACACTACATTTCAAACGCTCACCCTGGCATGAGTTTCAACAGTGAAGCATCAAGGAGCAGCTTACCACAGCTGAGGTCTCCCCAGGTAGAAACCCACAAACATCCCAGTTCTGTTCTACAGGAAGAGATCTCTCTTTCTTTATACACACATTTTTTAAAGGAGCTCACTATGCTGCACTGGAAGCAGTTTTGGAAAGCAGACAGAAAACAGAAAAGGATTTTAAAAGCCAGAATCATGGATATTTTTAACCCAGGTATTGTTACCACCCTGCACATGACAGCCAGCTTCTGGTCATCACAAAGACCCACGTACGGAGAGCTGTTTGTTTGACTTCCCCTCACTGTAACCCCTGCTACACTCACCTCGCCTGAGTAACTGTATTTTCCTTTCAGGATCTGCCGATATAAGCGGGTGCGGTTGTCATCTTCAAAGGGCATAGTGCCACTCAGGAGAATGTACGAGATAACACCCAGTGCCCACATGTCCACAGAGTTTGTGTACGGTTTCCTGACCAGGATCTCAGGAGCAATGTACTCTGGGGTCCCACATGTGGTTTTCATCAGGCAGTCATCTCCCTTCTTCCGAGCACTTGCCAGTCCAAAGTCCGTAATCATGATTTTGGAATCTGTTCCTGGATGGTAGTACAACAGATTCTCTGGTTTTAAGTCCCGGTGCGTGATACCCAGAGTATGCAAGTACTTCACACCATCCAATACCATCTGCAGCACACGCGTAGCATCTCTCTCAGTGAAGGAACCTTTAGCGATGATGCGATCAAACAGTTCTCCTCCAGTTGCCAGTTCCATCACCATGTACACACGGTCCTGGGTCTCAAACACCTCAATAAGCTGGATGATATTGGTGTGCCGAACCCGCCGTAGTACACTAAGCTCCGACTCGCACACTTCCCTCCCCTCCCGGTATTTGGTCTCTATCATCTTAATTGCATAGGGCTGCTTGGTAGCCTTGTGTTCCACCCGTACAACGCGGCTAAAACTCCCCCTCCCAATCAGGGCTTTAATGTCATACTTGGCTGTCACTCTGGGGTCAAATTTGGCGCGGTATTTAGCCACTTTGTTCTTGCGGGGTTCGGGCTGGTCCATGTGGACAGGCAGGTGGTTCCCAGGGTACGGGTTAGCGTGACGCGGAGGTGAGGGAGAGCCAGCTTTGATGACAGTCCCACAGTCATCTTTGATGAAATGCTTGTATACGTCATTGTGGCCTGTGTAAGGTTCGACTTTTTTAACCAGGTCTAGCTGCACATCTTTGGGGGGCTCGGGAAGCACTTTGCTTGTCCCACAGCCCATCACTGAATGGCGTTAATTCCCTGTCAAGGCATTTTCCCAGGGCAGCGTCAGCAGCAACCACATCCGGGGCAATTCCCACATTTGAACCTCAGGAAAAGAATGAAAAGAAACAGATAAACAGGAATCAAGGTAGGAAAGTTTCAAACAGGGAAAAAAATGCAAGTGGTTCACGTCTCAATGGAGCCATGCTACTGCAAATTAAGAGTATGGGATTTTCACTGTACAGAGCATGTGCAGTGCTTCGCCGCTTTCATCAACAAGCTAGTGAAGACAGTGCCTATAAAAAAAAGTCAGTCAGAACAGATGTCTGAGGAAACTACACAGTACCTCTTTTTATTAAGCAGGTTAATGCTCCCAGCTGAGCACTGAATCACAGAGTCATAAAACACCTGAGGTTGGAAGACCCTGGAGGTCTTCTTGTCCAGCGTCAATCGCTTAATAAAAATCAAATTAAGGAAAGAGTTGAGCATTTTCCTTAATTTTGTTTCATCTGCTCAACTTCATAAGACAGCAGCCACTCCAAATCTTACAGTCTTGAAACTTCTCACTAGAAACTCCACAAAGTATCTCAGCAACTTGTTCACTTAACAAATTTTCCTAAGATTTTCTTTATATTTAACTGGTACTGGTGTCTTAAACATCTCACTACTTTGCTCCTGGGGATCAATGAAAATGTGCAGGAGGCAGGGATTATAGAGACAGAGGCAGGCTGTTTTTAAGATGCAGTTTCTGCATTCCCTGCAAAAAGGCAGCCCTCATTTAACCAGAGCAGCTTTTAGCTGGCAATTCCCTCACCCTCCAAACCCTAAGAAATCAAGGTGGGCTTTGACATCTTTTAACGTCCTGACTCAGCTTTGGTTTCTTTTGCATCTTCAGGTACCAAGTAGCACTTCTGTTTTTCCATATGGAGCTGGGTGTAGGAAGTAGAATTTCTACCAGCTGCTCCAGACTAGAGCAAAGGGAGCTCTTGCTCATCACACTATATCCCAGCAGAACCAAATCAGCTGCACTTCAGCATGTCCTTAGGTGCTGATTAAAACAATATGACTGGTCAGGAGATGGATAAACTGCCTGTATGCGTTCCAGCAGTTAGCTGAGCAGTTTTAAATTTCTACTCTTTGGCTCAGAGCCCATCAATACAGTGCCTGAGCCTTCACAGAAGGCTACAGAAAAGCAGTTAGCCTTGAAATGCAGTCATACACCTTACCATCACGGAGCTTATCTTCACTCATTCACCACCTGTCCAAGCAACTATTCAGCACGAACAGCAAAAAGGGAATCCCGGTTGGTCTTCCATCAGGAGAATTACATGGAGAAACAAGAAATGTTTTAGAGGGACACCCAGAAGAAGTTTAGGCTCTACCTCCAACCTGGAAAGAAAACAAGGCACTAGTTAAGATTCAATTTTAAAATCAGGCACCAAAGTAATTTCTCACATAAGACCTTCTGGCAGCACCGTGACGTCAAGCACACCAACCATGCACAAACATGCCTATACAAGGGTGCAAGCAGTAAAAATAAAAAACAACTTCACAGAAAGCTTAACTGACATTTGAATGTCACCAAGGGCTGTCCTGTAATTAGGTGTCCCTCAAGATTAAAGTACCATGCCAAAAAATAAATGAAATACCATAGCTGTTCCTGAATAATGCCTCACACAGACAGTTTTTCTCAGCATTATTAAAGCATACTAAGGTTAACAGATAAATGGAATGAGAGCATTCACAAACAAGGTCATTACAGAGTAATTCCACACATAGAGAAGCACTTGTGTAAAACGTCCCACCCATAAACAAAACCAATGAGAAGGATCAAACACTGAGCTTGAAAACATTGTATATAAATCCACCGCTGCTAATAACATGAACTGAGATCAGGCATCAACTAACAGTACGTCAGGGATGCGTCCTCAAACACGTAAAGGCTCACGACAGTGGAACCTACAGAACCCAAGCTGCATGCCATGGCCAGCAACAAAACGCTTAACTCCACATCAGTGCAGGTGGAAACGCTCCTGTGTAATAATCACCAGGTGTCTGGGAGAAGAAACTAACGCATTAGAGAAATGAAGCATTACAAGTCCCCTCTGAGCAGGAAATCACATACTCAGCAGGTGCCAAACTATTTGAGAGGACAGCACAGGCCTGAGCTGCGGTCGTAAGTGGCGAGAAGGAACACTGGGTTTGCACTTCAACTCCTGCCCACTCCTCTCCTTGGACAGCCAGCCCGTTGCACCCCACAGCTCCACAGGGCAACACCTCAGCTCCTGCTGATTCAGGAGCCTCCTCCACCTCTCTGAAAATATCAGGGCCTGAGTGGTTTCATACCTGAGGGTGTTCCTGTGCATGAGGGGTGTCAGCCACTTCACTAACCCACCCGAGGCCTAGCAACCCTTCTACCACTAATTAAATATCTCATGACTTGAAGCTATTTAATTTTGCTTTTCTACAAGATGCCAGTAAGGAAATTTGAAGAGATGAGCTCTTAACTGCATAAGAAATGCCCATACACAGCAACCTTCAAATCACACCTATGCCAACAGAGCATAATGGGGAAAAAAGGCCTGAAAGCACCTTACCTAAAGGTTTTACTAATAAATTTTAAAGTGTACCTTATTGCCTGACATAAGCCTGGCATTACCAGTCGCTTGGCTGGCAGTGTGAGCCTTCGGCGGGTTTCTGAGGGGAAACCCGGGGCTGGGGCTGCTGCGGCACTCCAGGCGGCCGCACCAGAGCCGCTGGCAAGCCAGAATCGGTCGAACCACCCGGGATTTCCAAAACTCTGATTGTTTTTCATAACTTAACCCGAACTAGACCGTTTCCCCCCATCCCTTCCAGGGAGAGGACCCAGGGCCGGGCCAGTGCCGGTAGCTCGTCCTGCAGGCCAGGGCAGCACCGCACCCAGCCCGGCCCGGCGAGGGGACAGGACGCTCCGGAAGGCGGTGAGGGCCTCACTCCCCGGCCCGGCCCGGCCCGCCCGTGCCCGCGGCCCAGGGCAGAGGCAGGGCTGAGGCCGCGGGGC